CGACTTTGAATAAGAACAGCAATCATGAGGGGGATTTTGCTCGTTAAAGTTGGTTTTATAGACTTTGAATAAGAAAAATCAAGATCGGGACTTTAAATCAAGATCGCGACTTTTTAAAATGATTTTATAGACTTAATGAAATATGTATATAGTGATTGTTAAGTCTAAAAACTAAGAATACAATATTTTCACAAAAATACATATTCTATGCAATATTTTCTAAAACACAATAGAATATGAAACAAATGAGAATGTGTATAAATTTGTTTGTTGTTTCATATCTATATAGCTAAACCAAAAAAATTAATAAATATGAAAAATGTAATTTCATATTTATATAAACTTGAAAACCAAAACATGTATGTATATATATAACTATATATATACATGGAAACCAAAACTTATATGTGTGTGATATATGATTGAGCTTAAAAAGTATTAAATACACATAATATAAATCCAGAACTAAATTGCCCAAGCTTGATAGACATTCAATGAGATCTTCTTGGTAAACATGGATGAAGCTTGAACTTGAATTTTTGACTTGAATTGTGCATAGCTTCACTCCTCTATTTCCGCCAACCTCCATTTGATGTGATCGTTATGACGCAATTTCATCTAACCTCCAACTTATTATTTGTCTATAATAAATAGGAACACATAAATACTAGACAAACAACATTAGTTATAAATTATTTGTTAGAATATCATCAAAACAAAAAGGCCAACAAATTACACCCATAAATCCCCTATAAATACCTGAAAAATCAGCTTAAAATGAGAATCTTTTGGAGATCGAAAAAACTAAAAAGAGATCAGCATTCATCCTTAGAGAGTTTTTATCATCAACTACAGAGATCTTGGAGCTTAGATCTTAGCTTACTAACCGAATTTTCAGTTTCAAATCAACTCTTTCACAGAGTTTAAAAAAAAACTCGCACTGAGTTATAAAACTCGTTAAGAGTTCTTTTCATACTTGCCACGTAAGTTCCATCAACCGTTTTAGTGAAGTGAGACGTTCAGATCGTCAATGAGAAGCAAACTCGATACGAACATTAAGAGAGGCATCTCATCGACACCAAGAAGAACCCAGATTAAACAAAGGGAAGGATCTCCGTCGACCCTTTTCTCTATTGTAAATTGGGAATCTGATATAAGAAGTATAATTTCTTTTTCTAAACTAGTTAGAGAGAAATTGTATAAGGGGAATTGTAATTAAATCTTTTTCTGAGTTTGTTAGAAAGAATAATACAAAAATTCGATTCTCATTTCTTCTTCAATTTTCCCAACTAAACAAACCCGCTTCACAAAATTGTTCATATTTATCCCATCAAAATATTCTACTAACGAAAATTATTCCACTTTAACAATTATTCTATTTTGTATGAAAATATACCAATTGACTATCATCACGTCCTAAAGATAAAAGAGGAAGTACATACATGCAAAACGAAAGCAAAGTTTGAACCCACGTGCAGGGCATGCACCTCCGGATGCTACCACAATTGAATTTATCCCAACTGTACATCGCAAAAGCGTCGGATCCGGGTAAGATCGGGATCCGATCCGCCGCCTGTTCTTCTTCTCCAGATCCAGGATCGTGGTGGCACGCGCCGGCCTTGCGCCCAAAAATTTATCCAAATCCCTAAGAAAAATCTCTCAAAAGAGCGTCTTTTTAACTCTCAGAATTCGACTACATCTCCAAGAAAAAGAAAAAGAAAAATCAAGATCGCGACTTTGAATAAGAACAGCAATCATGAGGGGGATTTTGCTCGTTAAAGTTGGTTTTATAGACTTTGAATAAGAAAAATCAAGATCGGGACTTTAAATCAAGATCGCGACTTTTTAAAATGATTTTATAGACTTAATGAAATATGTATATAGTGATTGTTAAGTCTAAAAACTAAGAATACAATATTTTCACAAAAATACATATTCTATGCAATATTTTCTAAAACACAATAGAATATGAAACAAATGAGAATGTGTATAAATTTGTTTGTTGTTTCATATCTATATAGCTAAACCAAAAAAATTAATAAATATGAAAAATGTAATTTCATATTTATATAAACTTGAAAACCAAAACATGTATGTATATATATAACTATATATATACATGGAAACCAAAACTTATATGTGTGTGATATATGATTGAGCTTAAAAAGTATTAAATACACATAATATAAATCCAGAACTAAATTGCCCAAGCTTGATAGACATTCAATGAGATCTTCTTGGTAAACATGGATGAAGCTTGAACTTGAATTTTTGACTTGAATTGTGCATAGCTTCACTCCTCTATTTCCGCCAACCTCCATTTGATGTGATCGTTATGACGCAATTTCATCTAACCTCCAACTTATTATTTGTCTATAATAAATAGGAACACATAAATACTAGACAAACAACATTAGTTATAAATTATTTGTTAGAATATCATCAAAACAAAAAGGCCAACAAATTACACCCATAAATCCCCTATAAATACCTGAAAAATCAGCTTAAAATGAGAATCTTTTGGAGATCGAAAAAACTAAAAAGAGATCAGCATTCATCCTTAGAGAGTTTTTATCATCAACTATAGAGATCTTGGAGCTTAGATCTTAGCTTACTAACCGAATTTTCAGTTTCAAATCAACTCTTTCACAGAGTTTAAAAAAAACTCGCACTGAGTTATAAAACTCGTTAAGAGTTCTTTTCATACTTGCCACGTAAGTTCCATCAACCGTTTTAGTGAAGTGAGACGTTCAGATCGTCAATGAGAAGCAAACTCGATACGAACATTAAGAGAGGCATCTCATCGACACCAAGAAGAACCCAGATTAAACAAAGGGAAGGATCTCCGTCGACCCTTTTCTCTATTGTAAATTGGGAATCTGATATAAGAAGTATAATTTCTTTTTCTAAACTAGTTAGAGAGAAATTGTATAAGGGGAATTGTAATTAAATCTTTTTCTGAGTTTGTTAGAAAGAATAATACAAAAATTCGATTCTCATTTCTTCTTCAATTTTCCCCACTAAACAAACCCGCTTCACAAAATTGTTCATATTTATCCCATCAAAATATTCTACTAACGAAAATTATTCCACTTTAACAATTATTCTATTTTGTAAGAAAATATCTCAATTGACTATCATCACGTCCTAAAGATAAAAGAGGAAGTACATACATGCAAAACCAAAGCAAAGTTTGAACTCACGTGCAGGGCATGCACCTCTGGATGCTACCACAATTGAATTTATCCCAACTGTACATCGCAAAAGCGTCGGATCCGGGTAAGATTGGGATCCGATCCGCCGCCTGTTCTTCTTCTCCAGATCCAGGATCGTGGTGGCACGCGCCGGCCTTGCGCCCAAAAATTTATCTAAATCCCTAAGAAAAATCTCTCAAAAGAGCGTCTTTTTAACTCTCAGAATTCGACTACATCTCCAAGGGGAGGGAGAAAAAAAAAATCAAGATCGCGACTTTGAATAAGAACAGCAATCATGAGGGGGATTTTGCTCGTTAAAGTTGGTTTTATAGACTTTGAATAAGAAAAATCAAGATCGGGACTTTAAATCAAGATCGCGACTTTTTAAAATGATTTTATAGACTTAATGAAATATGTATATAGTGATTGTTAAGTCTAAAAACTAAGAATACAATATTTTCACAAAAATACATATTCTATGCAATATTTTCTAAAACACAATAGAATATGAAACAAATGAGAATGTGTATAAATTTGTTTGTTGTTTCATATCTATATAGCTAAACCAAAAAAATTAATAAATATGAAAAATGTAATTTCATATTTATATAAACTTGAAAACCAAAACATGTATGTATATATATAACTATATATATACATGGAAACCAAAACTTATATGTGTGTGATATATGATTGAGCTTAAAAAGTATTAAATACACATAATATAAATCCAGAACTAAATTGCCCAAGCTTGATAGACATTCAATGAGATCTTCTTGGTAAACATGGATGAAGCTTGAACTTGAATTTTTGACTTGAATTGTGCATAGCTTCACTCCTCTATTTCCGCCAACCTCCATTTGATGTGATCGTTATGACGCAATTTCATCTAACCTCCAACTTATTATTTGTCTATAATAAATAGGAACACATAAATACTAGACAAACAACATTAGTTATAAATTATTTGTTAGAATATCATCAAAACAAAAAGGCCAACAAATTACACCCATAAATCCCCTATAAATACCTGAAAAATCAGCTTAAAATGAGAATCTTTTGGAGATCGAAAAAACTAAAAAGAGATCAGCATTCATCCTTAGAGAGTTTTTATCATCAACTACAGAGATCTTGGAGCTTAGATCTTAGCTTACTAACCGAATTTTCAGTTTCAAATCAACTCTTTCACAGAGTTTAAAAAAAAACTCGCACTGAGTTATAAAACTCGTTAAGAGTTCTTTTCATACTTGCCACGTAAGTTCCATCAACCGTTTTAGTGAAGTGAGACGTTCAGATCGTCAATGAGAAGCAAACTCGATACGAACATTAAGAGAGGCATCTCATCGACACCAAGAAGAACCCAGATTAAACAAAGGGAAGGATCTCCGTCGACCCTTTTCTCTATTGTAAATTGGGAATCTGATATAAGAAGTATAATTTCTTTTTCTAAACTAGTTAGAGAGAAATTGTATAAGGGGAATTGTAATTAAATATTTTTCTGAGTTTGTTAGAAAGAATAATACAAAAATTCGATTCTCATTTCTTCTTCAATTTTCCCAACTAAACAAACCCGCTTCACAAAATTGTTCATATTTATCCCATCAAAATATTCTACTAACGAAAATTATTCCACTTTAACAATTATTCTATTTTGTATGAAAATATACCAATTGACTATCATCACGTCCTAAAGATAAAAGAGGAAGTACATACATGCAAAACGAAAGCAAAGTTTGAACCCACGTGCAGGGCATGCACCTCCGGATGCTACCACAATTGAATTTATCCCAACTGTACATCGCAAAAGCGTCGGATCCGGGTAAGATCGGGATCCGATCCGCCGCCTGTTCTTCTTCTCCAGATCCAGGATCGTGGTGGCACGCGCCGGCCTTGCGCCCAAATATTTATCCAAATCCCTAATAAGAAATCTCTCAAAAGAGCGTTTTTTTAACTCTCAGAATTCGACTACATCTCCAAGAAAAAAGAAAAAGAAAAATCAAGATCGCGACTTTGAGTAAGAACAGCAATCATGAGGGGGATTTTGCTCGTTAAAGTTGGGTGCTTGATTTTATTCTCAGCCCTCTCCCCTACGAATTCTCTCGCCGATGGGGTCACCCCTTCAGAGGCTAAGCAATTGAGAGACGAGGTAAAAATCTGCGATTTTCTTCCGTCTTTTTTTTTATTCCTCCTAATGCTGGGAGTTTCTTCGTTTAAGTCGCGATCACTGATTAATTGAAGTAATGTATGTAGTGTTGTTTGAAAACAAATGTTATGTTGACAATTTCTGGGTGTTTTAGATTTTAGATCAACGTATGTCCACCGAACATTCATTGAGCCAATCTTCACTCATTTTATTCCTCAATTTTCCCTTTATCAACTTCACTGCAGAAAAAAAAAAATCAAAACAATCTAACTGCATCAAAGTAACTTTGACTGTTAGATTTTTTAGTACGTAAGGAAGCCCTCAGAAGAACACGAGTGAAGATAGAATATTATTCAGCTTAGACACTCAATTAGCTTTCAAAGTACTATGAAGTACTAGCACTGAAACGATATTTAGTTATTAATTAGAATAGAAAGATAGTTATACATCAATATCACATGCAGAAAAAAATTAGGAGCAAGTATTTTCATATTGTTCTGAGAAGAAGTAACAATATGAATGAGATTTAAATTAAAAAGAGATATGGTAGCAAGATAAACCATGGATTTTATACGGGCATTTTTAAAACAATTTGAGACAAACAGTTTCTTACAAAAAAAAGCGTAATATATAGAGCCGAGGTGGATCTACCCATGAGGAAGTGGTGTCACGTGACCACTTCACCAAGAGTAGATCCGCCGCTGTGCACACCTTTTGAATGAAGTAGAAAATCTCCTGAGAAATTTACCAATATGAGCCAGACGCAGATACATGGTACTATTTACATGGGCTTGTTGTATTTGTAGGGGGAAAAGTACACATACACAAAATTGGTTTCGCGTGATTTATCATTATTTCTTTGATGGGAGCTAAGCCTTTTATCTTTGTCTTAGGTACGTGAGATGTTTTATCATGCCTTTGAGGGATATATGCAGCATGCTTTTCCTCTCGATGAACTGAGGCCTTTAACCTGCAAAGGGGAAGACACACTTGGTGGTTATGCCTTAACTCTTGTAAGCGCTCCCCTTGTTTTGATGGATGTCCATGCTAAATTGTATTGCCAATCTAGTGTATGCTTTGGGTGTTTATTCTGTTTTTTGGACTATTATCATTCATCCAACTGAACAGATCGATGCCTTGGATACATTGGCCTTGCTAGGGGATCGTGAAGGGTTTGGTGCAGCTGTTGAATGGGTTGGTAAAAATGTTCGGTTTGATATTGTAAGTATCAAAGTGCTCTACAATCTTTGTCATCATTTTACTAGCTGAGATTACACAACATATGTTTTTCCTTATTTAACATATATACCTAAATATTGTTGGCATGGGATGCATAACACTATGATTCCTTTTGTCTTTTCTTTGGCCACTTCGATCCATGAACATAAGAAAGATGCAAGAAAAGAGAAAAAAGAGATGGACATAGAAAGAGGAAGGAAAAAAAATCAAGAAAGAAAAAAAATGAGATAGAGCGAATGTAGTTTCTTTAAGTTTGGTTGAGTACTTGATGGACCAATTGATGGAAAATAAATTGGATAAGTCTGTTTAGTAACAGCCTCACAAGGATGAGTGGGGGTAATGCTGCATTAGTCTGACCCTTTTTAGACCCTGCTGTGGTGGGGGTAGGGGTGCTAAACCGTTCGGATATATCCAAACCGACTTCAATACCCGATAATGATGCGGAGATGGTAGCCGAAATCTGAAACCGACCGGATACAATTTTGGTTTCCAATATAATTTTCCCTTTTTACTCGGATACGGTTCCGGATACAGTAACCGGTTCAACTAGCGGATACGGTTCGGATATCCGGATATTCATTTTAAGGAAAAATATGAATAACAATATAAGCACTTGCTAGGATTTGAACCTTGGCCACTTAGTTATAAGGCAATTAAACTAACCGCTGGGCTACAAATGAACGTGCTATATATCTGATTCGCATATTACTTAACACAGCTTGCGTTTTTCACACTACCCCCCACCGTGTCACTAGAATCCTAGTGCTATAAACTAAATGAGACTTTTATAGTATAGGCATTTGTTCAAGGTTTAGATTAGATAAGTGATTCCATTTGTATGTATTATCTTATTCTATGTGTTTATATATATTTTTTGTCATATCCGATATATGTCAGTCATATACGTTTCCTAAATTTCGGACTTGTATCCGTGATCATAACCATATCTGATTCTTTAATATCCGAACCGTATCCGTTTCTGTTTAGCGCAGATATGGTCTTTACTTTTTCTAACAAACACATCCGTATCCATATCCATTTTTAGAAAGTGGATATAGATATGATAAATGTCATATCCGAACCGTATCCGGACTGAATGCACCCCTTGGTGGGAGCCTTCGGGCTGGGTATTTTGTTCAGCCTTCCTTAAAAGACTAAAGATCTATAGGCTTTACACAAGGCTAAAAAGAAATCTTAAAGAATTTTGAGAGATGATCAGGAATTCAGAACAACTATTGACATCAATGCTAACTGCTATGGCGTGCCTTTTCTTTTATTAACTGAAAAGAACCTGAACCTGAAGGTCCTGAACACATTTAAAGGTAATTTTCAATAAGTTGCTATAAACTTTCATTGGGTTTTCATGAGACAACTATGAACTATTTTTGGTTTTAATTTACTACCATGCAGTTAGCAGTTGATAAAGAACCTCCTAGTAGCGTTGATGGTAGTATTGAAAAGACTAATGTGCCCTTTCATACATATAGCACATAGAGATAAGCGAAGATAGAGGGGAAATATACACGATATGTGGGTCAGTTCCATCCAAAATTTATTACATGTAAGACACGTGACTACTTACAACTAACAAAATTAGTGAATGATAGTTTAGTGCAAAAATTTCATGGTGGTTTCCCTAAAAAACTCATAAAAGTTCATGGTAGTTTCTAGAGACAACTTCCCAATATATTACATAAACCACAAGCATCATTAATGTTTCAGCCAACATGATAAAATTAAAAATGTATCACATACTAATGGTCAGATCTTTCTACTTATCGGCATCAATAAAATGCACCAACAGTTTCTCACATGACCTTAATTTCTGGAAAAAGAAGGGAAGGGGAGTATGACGTCTGTTGATTGTTACAATGTTGGGACTTGTATCGACTCATGCTGTATAGTATTTATTTAAATCTTTGTACTTTGTCTTATATTTTTTTGCTATTGTATATAATTACTCTTATATATTACTGAATCATTATGGTCATCCTTATTATTCTGAAGTTGATTTACTCATCTTCTATATGGAGACAAGTTCTATATGTTCAATCTGTTCTAATACATGTGCAGGATAAAACAGTTTCTCTTTTTGAAACGACAATTCGGATTCTTGGGGGTTTACTCTCTGCTCATCTTATTGCTAGTGATTATGCGACGGTATACTTTACCTTCCAAGTACAATTTTATGTGTGCTATTCTAAGATTAAAAAAAAAATCATTTCACTGAGTAGATTTTTCCCACTCAAAGTACTATTTTACTCCTTTTCTTATTTTATTTTTGAGTTATTCAAGTTCAGTTATGGAGTGTAAAATCGATTTTTTAGTGAATGCAAATTCCTCCTTTCCTAATAAACGGATAAAGTGCCAGCTATCAAGTAACACATCTACTCTATACTCTTTTAGTTTGTTTAATTGCTAATGGAGTTGAGAAAGTTCACCTGAAAGGTTTGAAAAATGAGACAAACATAACTTTTCTAGGACTAATCAAACAAGTCTTGCACTTACTTAGACTCCTAGAACCCAATTATGTAACCACGGGTCCAAAGTCAAGTTCATATAAATTCCAAGAGGCCTCTCATGCACACAGCACACTTACTTTTCTAACATTGAGAACTTCATGTCTCGTAGGCTTCATAATGACTTGATGCAAGCTGGTTTCTCTGTGTATGTTCAAAATTTAAGTAAAGAGATACTTGATAGGCTGTTATAAATGAATTATTTGTCAAAGATCTTGTGTTTATTTTGTGAATACTTTTACATTATTTGTTTCTCAGTGCAAGTTGTCTATTACTGAATCACGCCATGGAAGTTTGATGTACTTGTTATCGCCTCTCTCGAACAGGAGGATGGACGGATGGAAACTTCACCCTATATTAGGGCATAGTCCAAAGTGTAAAAAAAGGTTATAAGATGCAGTTCGGTCACATGTGTAATACAATAAAAAAGAATACGGCTCTCAATCAGTCAACTCAAATTCCTTTTGAAATTCAAGCTGGCTAAATACAAGTACACTTAAAAGATATTGGCTTAAACGTGGCATGATAAATCAATCTGTAAGATACGCTATCGATGCTTGGGATTACACAATCAACTTGAAATTTAGACAAGAAATAATTGAAGACCACATGCTTATACAACAAGTGACCATTTTCATTAATATCATTTCTCGATCCTTTGGTTCACGTGTTGTTTGTTCTGCAAAGCTACACCATATCTTCACCGAGTTGCATCAAAATTTGGGAATCTGAATTTTTATTTTTCCTTGTATGGTTATATCCAAATAAGTGAAGAGAAGCGTGCACAAACCCTCATCACCTATTTTGACCAAGAGAAAATTTAATGTTTCCAGTTGTTAGAGGTTGGTTGGTGGAGGCTGTGGAGCAAGAATAGGGGTTCTTGGGGTTTGCAGGCATGGAATGAAGATCCATGTTAATAATCTTTATGGAAAATTGTAGCAAAAACTTTTACCTAGCTACACCAGAGGTCAGTCCTTTTGGTCGGTGCCAAATTCCTGGTGAAGGAATCTGGGGACAAGAGAGTGACTTCCCAAAAAATGAAGTAGGTAGGTAGACAAACTTAATGCAAGTCCACATGCATGCATGAAAACGTGCATACATGCACAAAGAAGGGTTGAAGGGGGTAGTTTCTTTTTCTTGGCTTCTAGGGTATGGGCGTCATATTCTAACCATTGGACTAGAAGAATGAGATTGGAGTTTGATTGCCTGATTTCCCAAAAGATAGCTTGGGCCATCTCAATTTCAAAAATCTTGCAGCTCTTATAGCTCATATATTCCTTCCGATGCCCACCACCTTCTTTCTTTTTCCCACTGCTTCAGTACAGGCCTCAGCCTGTCAGCTCTTGCATTTTAGAAATTTTAATAAAAACAAGTTATATTCAAATTCTAGTTTACTTAGGTTTGGGATTTTTATTTCTATGTAGATGTTGATTCTATGAGCCTATAAACACCCATGTTTTTAGTATTTCAGTTGGTGGAAACATTGAATGATGATTTGATATAAATCAGTGATTGATGATTGTTAGTGATGAAATCCTAATGTCTGAAGCTGTTGTGAGGGCATGAAGTCTTCACACTATTGTTTCTTTTCTTATGAAATAACGAAAATCCTGGACACCCTTTTGCAGTCAAGTCCTAATCCTACTTAGTCCCTCTTCCACTATCTTACCTTACCTACTGTGATTGACGTGCTTCTTGATGTCATCCTTGCTGAGTTTGTTGATATGCAACTGAAAACCTGTTCCTGTCTGCCTTTTGTTCTGTAAAACTGTTCCCATCTGTATATATTCTGTCATGTATAAAGCTGTTAGGTATTGATCATCTTTTGAATTTCAAATTTCTGATTTTCTTGATAGCTAATCCATCTTCTATTTTCCTTCATCTCACTTGTGCTGAATCATGTGCTGCCCACTTAGTCTTGGCCATCACCTGTCTTAGGTCCTCTCCCTCTATCCTCTATGTTTTCCAGTTCATTGTCTTTGATAGGACAGGTCCGTAGCTTTGTCTGCCCTCTCTTTCTATTTCTTTCTTTATCTACTCAGGGTTTTTTTAATTTCCCTGCTAACTTTTTCCATATGGGCGTGTATGTGTGCGCATTTGCTATTGCTGTTTTTTTTATTGGTGAGCTTTATAGGAGCATAACTACTAGCATTCAGCTTTCTCCTGAAACAAGTCTTGCTAGGGACTCATTTGTGTTCATCCTTATGCATTTTGATTGCGGACCTAGCTTTTGTTAACTCAGGTTAGGAATCAAGCTATTCTATCACTACAGAGACTACTCATTTTATCTTTTGTAGAGTTACATGTGGTTTTTTTCAGTGTTCTCGTCAGAACGCGCAAGTATAGTCCTTGATTCTTGTTAGCAGGTTTCTGCTCATTGTGAGTATAAAGCTCAACGAAGAGTATGACTATGACCAATCTATATGTTTGAGTTTTGTTATCTTTGTCCTACTTTGAGAATCTTGTTACTCCTTGATACTTGCTTTATAAACCATAACTCTCAGGCAAATATCTTGTGTGCAGTATTATATATGTTATCCCAAGTTTCAAAAGATGCCGTGCCTAATTAGTCATAATGAGAATACATATCCTTGAAACAGATCTGTATCATGAATTTAAATAAGTTTCGGAGCGAGCATGGTCATTTGCTTGCAAGTAAGAGTGATATGCTGGAATGAATTGGTCTTGGTAAGCCTTATAGGAGTACCAAGTTTTGGTCAACTACCAGCCCCATGTGTCACATAAAAGGACTCTTTTAGGTTTTGCATCATGTGCATTCATGTCAAGTTACATGTGTTATAAAAGAATTGTCTTTCTGGTAAAATCTAAATCTATATTTTACATTTCTCACCCGAGCCAATTTGAATGTTTGCCTATTATAACTACCCTCTATCTACCTTACCTATGGGGATACTATTTTGATTGGTGAACTTTTATGTTTCATCCTCCAAAGGCAAGAGAAATGGACTTGAGGGCTGTTTCGTTTTTTTGGTTCTCTCTATTCTGTTAAAAAACTGTGAAATGATCTTTCATTTTCCATAGTCACTTAAAATTTTGTTTATTGTTCTCCATGACCATATATTCAAATCATAATTCTTGATTATGACCAAACCGATTGTTTGTTACCCATTTTTGTTGAGGCTATCATCATACATTCTTAAGTACGAATATATTCTTGGCATTACTGCATATACCTTTTTGTTTTCTAAAACACCTTGCCCATTAGTCTGTAACAACTAACAACCAACACTGAAGGATGTAAAAAACAAAGGAAATGGATATGGTGTGTGCACAAATAATTTAATATTACTCATGTGATATTTGCTAATGACGCTTATTTCTTGGTATCTAGTTTGGTAATATGAATAAGCACCTTTCTATGGACTCTAACTCATATCTCTTTCTTTGACAGGGCATGAAGTTACCATCTTATGATGATGAATTGCTTCATTTAGCGGAGGATTTGGCTCAGAGATTGTTGCCTGCATTTGACACTCCTACAGGTTATTTGTTTGTTCATGTAGTTAGAGCATTAAACAACAAAACTAAGTCTTTATTCCAAATCTTTGTGGCCAGCTAAATAAATCCTTTTGCCATTCAGCTTTGTTAGAAGCCATCTCCTTTGGTAATTGCTGTCTTTTTCTTTACCGCTTCAACCCCATTGCATTCAGGCCTGCATCTCTCTACCCACTCCATCAACTACCTCCCTATCACTTCTCCTAACTGACATTACCAAATGATCTTGTTAGATTCTCCTTCATTTCCTCATTCTAAGCTATGTTCAACTTCTTATCTACTCGCATATATCTTATCTTTTATAAAATTGCCATTCATCCATTCAACACACTCAGTTTTGGTTATATTCATCAACCTATAACATTCTGATCTATAGGGTATGACAAGCTCTATTTTACGATCATGTAATACTTTAAAAGTGTGTATCCATTTTAACCACTTCGCTTTGATCTGTAAACATCCTACTCTTATCTTTCAGCATCATGATGAATGATCAATCCTAAGCAGCATAAGTAATCAGTTCTCGGGTATTATTTGTCATCAGTGTGCGCTACACCCTCAAATATTTTTCATTAGTTTTGCTATATCTACAGTCCATCTATTATATTTTTGCTATAGTAAAAATATTTTTCATTAGTTTTGCTATATCTACAGTCCATCTATTATATTTTTGCTATAGTAATTCTATACTTTTAACTCTATACCTTCTTCCTTGCTTTCTACTTTAGAAAGTTGCCCATTAACATAACAACAAAGGATTATGCAAATGGAGGGAATCCCCAAGAATTAATTGAGCTTATTAAGACAAGATTCTTCAGAATTTTGGAGGCATGACATTAGTTCTGAAATTAATTCTCAAAGATAGTTGCATCGCGAAGTCATTATACTCTTGGCTAACCTGTTGAACACCTGCAAATTTTAACCTGTTGTCAAGCTTGAGAATTATGACTCTTTGTCCTATCTATTATTCTACCTGCGGTGTCCACTGGTCACCTGACAGTATACAGGATTGACATTCTCGTTATTCTTAACCATAACTTTCCATCTTTGTGGAAATATTAATGGATAACATTTTGTAGAATATTGATCCTTTTTTCCTTTTTTTAAAGAAGAATAACATTCCGGTCCATAATAGATTTTTCTTGTCCTTTTGCATCAAAAGAATTGCTCGTCTTCAATCTCATAGAGCCATGGTGAAATACGAAAACTATTTTACGATTAAGTTACAATAGCCAACCACACTTATAGAAGATTTTATTAGTCTTGTTAAAGTATAGAATTATAACTCTCAACCTTCATCATAACTTTAGAGCTTTGATGTAGTGGAAGTGTCTTTTGACATTGACATTGTATCAGACCACCCAATTTCAAATCCTACTATCCACAATTTTCTAAATTGATAAAAAGAAGTATACCACTCTGTGCCCATAAATGGCCCCTCAGCTTGTTGGAGCACATTAGAATATAGAAGGCTAAATGACACTTAAAAATACCTTATCGTTTCACCACCTTTACACTTAAATACCCTAAGTTGTAAAAAGTAGTACTTTTATGCCATAAGTTGTAAAAAAGTTGTAAAAAAACTAGTACTTGAATACCCTATTGTTTCACCACCTTTGCACTTAACTATTCTAAGTTATAAAAAGCAACACTTTAATTCCCTAAGTTGTAATAAATTAACACTTTAATACCCTAAGTTGTAATAAAATAGCACTTTAATACCTTCTGTTTGTTGTCAGGACATATTTCTAGCAATATTCCCATGATAACCAAGAGAAGGTACTAACGTGCCAGTTTTTTTATAACTTAGGGTATTAAGTGTTACTTTATACAACTTAGGGTATTTAAGCGTAAAGGTGGTAAAACAATAGGGGCATTTGAGTGCCATTTAGCCAATGTAAAATTATAAGTTATAACCCTTGACCTTCACCATAGCTTTAGAATTTTGGTTTAGTGGCGGGGTCTTTTGACAAGATACACTTATTAGTAGAGTATATTATTTTGAATATAGATATTTTATCCTCTGTTATTTATTATTTGAAGCTCTTTTCATTCTGTATATTTCCCTTCGAATACTACAATACTACTGAACTACCTCATTTATGCATGCTTAAACTGATAGTCTGTTCTTACTTTCTTTTTTGTTTCAAAACAAATATAAATCTTTCCTTTCTAATCCATATCATTAAGAGTATGATGTATCCATTGATAGTGAAAACGAATGGAAAAATAGGATTCATGAATCGTAAACAAAAAGTTTTGCGATAAATGCATTTTTGTTGTTGTATTCGTTGACAATGTCCCTTTTCTTCTAAATTATTTGATCTGTGTTTTCTAGGAATTCCATATGGCTCTGTAAATTTAATGCACGGAGTGGATGAAAATGAAAGCAAGGTAGAAACTTGTTTATATTTTCTCTTTACATTTGTAAACTACTTTTATTGCTTCCCACTCTTTAGTTTCTGGATGGGTTAAAGACTATTTTCGTTTTCGACCTTGTCTGTTTCACTTTATAATAAGAGGGCATGCGTTACTGACAAAGTCATAATAGAACTTTTGTAAATTTATTCTACAAATTAAACTCCACATAGATGGCATATCTAGTTATCATGGCTAAACTTTTTCACCTAACAACATCTTAGATGTAGGGGTGGGCAACGGGCTGTGCTCAGTGGCGAGGTGAGCCAGCCCACGACTCACAGCGAGTTGAGCGAGCTGTGTTTTGTCGCTTGTTCTCGGCTTAGAGCTCAGCCCAACCCGCTCTCGAGCCCGAGAATGTGAAGCCATAACATGGGTCGGCCCACTTGGCCCACTTAATTATTTTTTTTTGTTATTTTTTAATATTTAATTATTTTTAATAGGTTTTTTCAATATTGTTCAACACTTGAGAATTATATATAAATAGCAGACTAACAATGACATGATTACAAAATTGGAAAAAAAATAATTTTATTAAGTAAAATTGTATATTTGCATACAATTACAGAGAGAACCATTACAAACACAGAGATTTAATGCAGTTCGGAGGAAGTTTTACATCAATGAGTAGCATAATATTGTTCCATTAGTTAAAAAATAAAAGAACAAAATAAATTATAATAAACTTTAAAGAAAAAAGATATTACTACCAACTAAATGCGAGCCCACAGGCCGGGACAAATGAGCCAACCCACTCATATGCAGGCCCAGCCCCTCACTAGGCCTTGTGGGCTGAGCGGGTCGTTGGCTCGCATTTGGCTTGGGCCGACCCAGTATAGTCCCGC